TGTGCACAGTAAGGAGCTAGAAAAAGGAGATCTAAAGAGATTTTTTTCCATTTAGGAAGAATTATCATTTGCACAGAATTGTACGTTCATAGTGACGATAAATATCATTAAAGTAACAGAGCATTTTAACTGACTGTAAAAAGCACTGTATTGTTCTGTAGGGTTATCAAAAGGCTTACAGCATTGTTTGTAGGTACCAAGGCACGCATCCTTGCTGATTATGGGATTAGGCTAGAAACACAAATATAACTGATGCATGAGGCATATCTACTTTGTGGGTGAAGTCATGTCAGCCTATGGGAAGACTCGTGCGTTGTCCTCAGTCACCTGGGTAGCGTGCTGGCAGCCAGGATGCTGCTGTCCTCTGGCAGCTTTTTGCCAAGTTGGGTGTTTGAAAGAACAATGAGGTATTATGCACACCCAACTTCTTTTTTAAGTAGTCTTTGTGTTACAGTACTGATCAGGAAAGATGTGTGTAAAGAATGAAAGGATTTATTATTCAATGCCAAATACTTCTATTTAGAGTTGAAAAGACAGAGTATCTCATTAAAATCAATGTTTCGTGTTTTTTTGGTTTTGGGGATTTTTTTTTTAAGGCATTCTTCATAGGAGGAGAGTACAGAAGTTCCTCACAAAGGGTTAACACTTTAGCTGCTGTTGCCATTAATATCAAATAATCCTGTAAGAATTAAAGACTAAAGTATTTGAATCTTATAAAGCCATTAGATGCTGGCTCAGCACAAGAAGTAATTTACAGAGGAGATAGCACAGTGGTTGTCTGTAGTTATTTCCTAGCATGGTTCTCTCCTTCTGTCTGGCAGTGAAACAGATCCTGTTGTAGAGAGTAATGGTTTACGGTTGTATGACTGGACTTGGGGTTCACTCTTAGGACTTCCCAGAAACAGAAAAAAGAAAATGCATGGAGGAAAGAAAAGACTTTAGATATTTGGAGGGATCTCGCTCCGTAAAAAGTCAAGGATAAAAGTAGGCTTACAAGGAGAGCTGCTGTTAATATATTTTTGAAATAGCTACTTAGTAGGCTTAGGCACCACAGTTGGATGCTGCTTGAGGACCAATAGTGTCACTACAGCCTACCTAAAGGTTGATGCTCTTCGGCACTTCTTCCATAAGGGTATCGAAGAATGGATTTGATAGTGATACAGTGCCATAACATCAGTATGTTAATATTTGCTTTGGCTGCATGTTGTGGCTTCCCTGTAAAAGCTAAGATTTTAAAACCTTAAAATGGCTTTAGAAGCACTGCAGCAGTTATGGGAGCTCTACTCCAGTAAGATAGATGGGGTTGTGTAAACTTTAATTAGGGGTGATAAGCTGGACCACACTGATAAATAAAGTATGTCAGCAGCCTTACCCAACTGGAACTGCAGGAAGTGCATCACCCACAGACCTTAATGAATCAGAAGGGTGAGACCAACCACGCAAAACAGAAGCATCTGAAATCTTAAAAATAACTCTGCCTTCATGTGGTGTTAAATGAATTTTAAATTAGGAGTTTTTCCCTTGCCTGCCAAGTCTGTAGGGATGGGATTAGTTATTTCACAACCTGCAATGCCTGGTGCATTGCTATATTTGAGGTATTTGCCAGTTTTTAAATGGAACTAGGTTTTATAAATATTGCCAACCCCATTTCAGTGGGTGTCCAGTTCATATAAAACCTGAAGAAATGCTGTGTCAAAAAAACGTGTTTAGACATGGCTTATCCTTTAGCATCTCAAGTGCTGAATAACAGCAATTGCAATTTGAGAGGACGGCGAACGGTTGCTTACGGTTGCTTTTTCATGTTGTTGATGCTTTCCTGCTTTTAATATAGAATTTCCTCCAAATACATTTTCCAGCATAAAGGATGAAATAATTTGTGGTGCCAAACACTCTGAACTATGTCGCTAAGCATCGCCTCCTCTTATTGCACTTGTTTTAGAATCCAGTTTTTGATCACTTACTGTCCTTTCTATGGCCTTTTTAACAGATTTTCCCCAAACCATTTTCTACTGCTTAAAGTTACATCACTGAAACCTCAGAGAAATTTACCACAGACTGTGGGTGAAAGAAGCAATATGTGGGGTGAAGTAATAAATCAGAATGGCAACTGGACTTTGATATATTGCGAAACTGTAAGATTAACATATGACTGAGATGTGATTGTGTATTCTTATGGAGTGATATACTGGAATATTCTTTTATAGGAAATTTTAGCCCACAGAGCATTAAATTCTACAATTAAATCTTATGTCTATAATTGATACGTAGTAATGTACATTATAACCCCAAAATGAAATTTTACAGTTGAAGAGCACATGGTGAACTATGTAAAAATAGGATCTTCACTTTGGGAATCTTTTTTTTTTGTAAAAAAAGCACTTTCATATTACCAACTGTCATGTGACTGAATTTTAGATTCTCTCCTTTGTCATGACCCTGTAGAACTAAAATTTCTTTAATCTGCCTGTTAGTGGGTAAATCCATCATACAGATGTTGAAACAAAGCACCTTATACTATGCTGCTTGAACTTGCTTGTAATTGCACCTTTTGTTACCTGCAGATTTTTCTTAATGAGTATTCTTGCGTGATACCATTGTTCCCTGTGCGTCTGGGTGAAGGATTAACCAACCTGCAGCACCAGATACTTACAGTTTCTATTTCAATACAACATTGTATTGTGAGTTCAGTGCTTCAGAAATAAATGCTACTTCCATTTGTCTGCTTTGGTTGTGCATCACTTATTTCTCTTCTACAAAATTAAATCAGACCTTCACAGAACTGAAGAATTTGAAAATTAACAGTATTTTTGCTAGAAGCCTGACTAGCTCTTCCCCTACTGAAGTAGTCCTGCTTCAAATTTAACTATTTTAAAGTAATTTTTAACATTCTTTAACCTTGGGCATGTATTTATGTATAGGTATAGCAAAGAAACAACAAAACATCACCTTTTCTATAGCTGTGGAAGTTGCTTTACATTAACTGAAACAATTTATTTCTTTTTAAACAGACAACAGCTGTTCAATCAAACTGACAAAAAGTCACACTTTAACAAGAAAATATGCTTCAAAAGTCACAGAAATTGTTTGAAGCTTTGACAGTAGGTTAACACGGGGATGTAACATATATGGGCCCCAGCTTTGAAGAAGGCTTTATTCTGTTTTGTACTGCAAAACCTGAGCTCATTCCATTTAACGGAAGTGTGAAATCCTAGTCATAAACACAAGGCTTAGCTGAAAACTTGTTTCATACAAGTAGTGGTCTCCTTACACCTGTACATTCAAGTCAAATCATTCAAGTCAAATCCTCTGAACGGGCAGGTGCTCGCTGCCCACTGGAATCCAGTCTGTCCCAGTCTCCGGTGCAACGTTGATGGATGCTGGACTTTTCGCCATTGATTGTGGCTCTGGAGATGTTTCCTGTATTATCTGTAAGGACATGCTTCTATTGCACAGCACTTATTTGCAGTCTTTTCAGTCAGCAGCTCATTAACAGATTACAATTACTGTGCCTGGCTTATCAGCTGGCTCTGTGCTTTCATTGTTAAATGGGATAAAGCAGAATTTCCAGCTAACAAATGGATCTGTAGACCACATCTCCTCTGTCAATTCAACATCGTGACACCGACACCAGTATGCTACTGCGATGAGAAAGCTGTTGATGAAGTACAGCCAGGGGACGTTCATCTCCATGTAGGCTGGAATCCGGGCACCGAGAAACAAAATGATGATTTGAAGAAGAACAAAAGGTGCCCAAGTGCCAAGAAAACAGATGAGGAGTCTGGTCAGAAGCTGCCACTTAAAGCAAGTGCTGTTGTTGTTGGACACATAGGAGAACATAAGAACAGGCTGACTGGCAAAGGAAACTACCCTGACAGACAGCAGCATGGTTGTAACTTCCTTCCGACAAGCCAGGAGAGCTGTGCCTGTGAGCAGCACCATGGCACACGAGACTGAGTAACTCTGCAGGCTGCCATAGAGGGGACACCAATAAGGAGAAAAACGGTTCTGAGTGTCTAGTTCTTCACAGATAGCGGGAACTTTCAGAATACAAAAAAAACCCGAAATCCATATAACGACCACAGTAAATATATAAAGTAATCTTTGACCTCTTTTAGGAAACTGAGAAGTTTGGGCTATAGTCATGTAATAGTCCAGGCCAGCCACAAGATACACTGGATAATGCAGAATACCATAGGTAAGAGAAATCACCTGAGTGAACAGGCAAATGTGGTACTTCGTAAATCGCACACCCCAGAGTGCAAAGTCCTCAAAATAAAAAATGAAAGAGATACTCATCAGCAGTGTGAAATCGACAAGTGCCAGTGAAACACAGAAGTAACTCATAAAACTAACTTTCACATTTTTTTTCTTAACTTGCAACATGAAGAAATCAAGGAACACTTTTCCGAACATAATCAAGAGCAGCATGCAGCTCAGTTCAAGCGGCTGGTTGACCTGGGTATAGGGGTACTGACCAGGGCAATTTTCACAGAGTATGGCAGCCATCCTCCAGTGGTGAGACCAGCAAAGTAAGTATCACAGGGCACAGTGCTTCGTACCTGGAAAGGAAAAAAGAAGTTTGTAAAAATTTATTTCTAAGTACCTCTACCAAATAGTTAATTCTCCATCACAGTAACCACCACATTTGCATCTGCATTTTCCAGGCTCCTTAATTAAGAGTAAATAGGTTCACTAACACATCATTAAATTGTTCTGCCTAAATCTTATGTTCTTCAGATACAGATTCTCGAGAGTTGAAAGGTCAACATAGGCCTAAGTTACTCTTCTAGCTACTTTCCTAAGGAAAGGTTTAGAAAATAAGCCTGACTCTGTTCCTTTTCTTTAGAATGCATTGGGAGGCAGGAGTGTCCTTCTGTCCAGCCAGGCAGAGGGATAGATGTTTCAGGGCTCCTATGTATTTTGAAGAAATAAGACAATCACAGAGAACAGAAACCATACAAGACACAGAGCATGGCCTCACAGTTTATTATGCTTATAGAATCTATATGGAACACAGATTGCAGAAATATCCTGAAAGCAGAAAAAGCATCAACCCAACTCATCCTTTTCTGGTGTAAAAACCCTGGAGCCCTGAGGCAATCCAAAGCACACACACTTTATTAGTTGATTGGGCTTTTTTGTTCATCCTTCAGCAATGTATGTACTACAATGATAGACACCTCAGAACAGATGTTTTCCCCCTTGGACTTCCATTATCTTACTTACAATAACTCTTTTCTGTGTTTTAATTCCTAATGAAAATGAACACAGGATTGCTTCGTGTATGTCAGCAAGACATATTAGACAAAGCTGTACATGCTTGCTTCTCTCCTAGAGAAGCAGGATGGTGCCAGCATTTTCAGCAACAGCAGAGAAAAGCTGAGAAGCTGAGAAGCCAAGAGCCAGGATCTCTGTTAACAGTGATGCACTTGTATTTAAACAGACACCTACATTTCCTCACCAGCTTGCCAGAATTGGTGAAATTTGAGTCAGTGTCTCCTGAAAAGCAACGTAAGAACAACTCCAAGTACTTTGGGGGGGTTGGAACTAGATGATCTTAAGGTCCTTTCCAACCCTAACTATTCCATGATTCTACTTGGCAGTACAACTTGAGAAGCACCCACTGAGCTCAGGTATAAGGGCATGCCGCTTCACTCTTCATCTGCACAAGCACATTTCACCGTCTATAACCGAACACATTTTACACAACTTAAAATAGTCGTCTGTATTTTCTCTTTCATATACTGGATGCTGCACTTGCGTATGCAGAAAGGAGGCAACCTGCACACGGAACAGGGTCATGCTATGTAAGCGATCACTCAGATCCGTCTGTACTATTACTATTATCCTGATCGACGGCTGTGCAAAGCCCCGGGCAGAGCAGCAGAAGCGGCGTTAACCCCGCTGCCGAACGGCGCGGACAGGACCTGTGCCTGCTGTC